TCTCTCTAGTTCATCATGTCTAGAGGGATTCACTAAGCCTTGAGGACAGAAAAATGCCTTCAGTGATTCAATCACCTCAGCAATTCCCAGTCTAGCTCTCCTGAAATTCTGGTTCAAATGGTGCTCACCTCTCAATCCACGATAAATCAATCAATTGGTTTTGATCTCTGAATATTTGGTTCCTCATTTAGGAACCTTTGGCAGGTGGCTAACTAGTAGCCTCTGTAACTTTTCTGTATGTGTTCAGGATCAGGATGGCAGGATCAGATATTTCCCTCAAATATCTCATTTGTAATGAAGTTAGAAAATTCCTGCAAGACCCCTCATTTGTAAGAGAAGTGCTCCACCTGTAAGTCCGGAGCTTCCATGAGCATGCTTCTGCAGAGTGGGAGCAATTATCTCAATGGGGAACTGACTCCTGCCTGGGTCTCAATTACAAGATCTTTTCATATAATTTCTCATTCCAGTTATGGAACAAGTGTAGCTTTGATTTCAGGTGGGTGGTTCTTTGGGGGACATGGCATAGCCAATGTGATTCAGACTCCCACCAGGAGAAGACAAAGCCTTAAGCAGCAGAGGTGTCCACACAACAGAGAAAGCCAACAGTCAATAAAGCAAAACTATACTAACAGTAACTTGCAGAAAGACTTATAGACAAACATACACTGAGAAAGAGAGAGAGACACAGATACAGAGACACAGAGAGAGAAACAGAGAGAGACAGAGAGGCAGAGACAAAGAGAGACACACAGAGAGAAGAGATTGTTTGAAAATGGATTTAGGAAATTAGAAAGTCCTTCTTAGCCAGCTGGCAAACACATGAGGTATTTGGGATCCTAGTGTAGCTTTGAGCCTTTCTGAGTGTGGGATTCAAGAAAAATCCACATATTCTGGGTTGACAATCTTCAGTTAATAAGAAGATAGCCCAAAGTGGCACTAAGGAAGCCAAAAGTGTTACTATATTTCAAGCAAGGTTAGAACATTTAGGGATATCCCTAGAACTATGGACGTTGGTAGATGAAGCTTTTGTTTTAGCTATGGCAGGTGTTACTGTTTTTTTTTTTTTTACAAAAGTGCTGGGTTTTACTCCTTGAATGGTACTTCCTTCATGGAGACAGTTGTGCTTACTTCTGGGGGCCTGCTAATGTATGATCCCTCTTACACAGGCGGGTCAGTGAACCATGAGCATATGGTATCTCAGAGGCTGAAAGAAGCTGTTGGATCCCCTGAATAACTGGATAACTGCATTACTGACTGTTGTCAGCTGACTTGTTTATGAAGTGAGTTGGATGACACCTTCTGGAAAGGTATTCAACACCTTTGACTGCTGAACCATTTCTCCATACCATCACAGTTACTTTCTTAAAGAGGATGAAACAGCTCTGAAAGACTAAATCCTTTCTAAATTATGGTGGTATTCTATTTGTACTGAAATGTGATTTTAATTGTATGTTAATAAATAAAGTTGCCCGGGGATCAGAGCTATTAGAGCCATAGAAAGAGCGTGGCAGTGGTGGCACACGCCTTTAATCCCATAGATCTCTGTGTGTTCAGGGATACAGCCAGCATTGGAGACATATGCCTTTAAGACCTAGAGGGCTGTACTTACAGACAGTGACAAGGCAGTCATGTGTTTGGGTTTACAACCAATGAGAAGGCAGAACAGAAATACTATATTAAAAACAAGCACACAGGAAGTAGGTGTCTTTCGGAGAGGTAGGAGCACCGCAGGAGGTAAGATTTTAGCTCCGAGCTCTGACGTCTTGGCTTTCTCTTTTACATTGGTTCTGTGTTTCTTATTTTAATAAGACAGTTGGGTACATCTACACTAAATCATTGGCACCTGAAATATATTAGCAGGAATTCAGAGGTAATCATGAATTTATTCCTATTTCTTTCTTTCATTTTTTTCTTAGACATAATTTTTTTATTCTTTTTTTATTCTTTTTATTTTTATTTTATTTTACAATACTATTCAGTTCTACATAACAACCACAGATTGCCTAGTTCTCCCCCTTCCTGCCCCTCCCCTTCCCCCCAGCCGACCCCCCATTGCCACCACCTCCAGATAAAGGCCACCCCTGAGGACTGAGATAGACCTGATAGACTCAGTCCAGGCAGGTCCAGTCCCTTCCTCCCAGACTGAGCCAAGCGTCCCTGTATAAGTTCCCAGGTTTCAAAAAGCTATCTCATGCAGCCAGCCCAGGACCTGGTACCACTGCCTAGATGCCTCCCAAACAGATCAAACAAATCAACTATCTCACCTATTCATAGGACCTGATCTAGTTGGGGGCCCCTCAGCCTTTGGTTCATAGTTCATATGTTTCCATTCGTTTGGCTATTTGTCCCTGTGCTTTATCCAACCTTGGTTTCAACAATTCTCACTCATATAGACCCTCCTCTTTCTCACTAATTAGACTCTCAGCGCTCCACCCAGGGGCTGAGCTGTGGATGTCTGCATCCAGATTCCTCAGTCCTTGGATGGGGTTTCTGGCCCAACTATTAGGGTGTTTGGCCATCCCATCACCAGAGTAGGTCAGTCCTGGCTGTCTCTCAGCCATTGCCA